TCTTAACCACTACTGAACACTTTTATTATTCAGAATGCAAACCGCCCAGCATCAGTTTATGACTTCTGAATACTTCCTGAATATTTTTACAAACTAAATTTATGACTGTGTGACATGTTTGCTTTCTTAGTGCCTGTGACTCCGAAAGAAAAAGTCAAACCAGCACCAACGAAAAAAGGTACTGAGAGTGAGATTTTATTGGTCAAATCTATTAGACGACCTCATGTAGTCAATGTTATCCGTCATTTTTCTGCAGGTATCTGTAGTTTCTTTGTAAGTTTCTATATATGTTTTTTTACAACAGGTCTGTTCACAGATTTGTACAGCATTAGTATAAAGGAACGAACCACTTCAATTGAAAGTGTTATAACAACAATCACACTGTTGTCGTATTCAAACCTCTGCAGGAAACTGCACTGATTTTTGTTGCTGTTATTTGCTTTAGAAGCTGAAGTGCTGAAGAAGAAGACGGCTGAGCCAGTGACGCCTAAGAAAGGTTTGTATCTTTCTCGTTTCTTGTTTCTCTTATTTTGTGGTATTTTTACCCATATTATGTATAAGACATTTTTAAAAAATAAAAACATCTTTCTATATACTGTACATTAGAGTTAATCAGATCATTTATTATTCTAGCACCTGTTACTGAGGCCAAACCAACACCTGCTAAAAAGAAGGAAGGTAAACAGAGGACCTGTGTGTTTGTAGTGTTTAGTTGGAATATAGTTCTTCTAATAAATTACATCTGCTGTAGAAACAGTATTTGCATCCTGCTGACATGTAGCTGCTCTAAGAAACGGTTACAGCATTTAGCTGTAGATGCTTCGTGCTCTGCTTTAAGATGTAAAATGTTTATTTTGAGTAAATGCAGTGTTTCAAGCAACACTTGATTCTGTCTTAGTTCCTGTGACTCCCAAAGAAAAAGTCAAACCAGCACCAACAAAAAAAGGTAGAATCTATGATATTTTTGAACTAACGTGGTCTTTATTAATTAATAACTTCACTGCATGCAACTTGATTTTACCTCCAAATGTTTCCATTTTCTCTGCATTTTTCGACTGGTATCTACAAAAGGTCTATTTGCAGGTTTGTAAAACATCATAATGCGGGAATAAACTACATCCACTGCAACTGTAATCACACTGTTTTCATGTGCAAATATCTGCAGGTAAATGCACTGATTGTTGCTATTCTTTACTTTAGAAGCTGAAGTTGTCAAGGAGAAGAAGGCTGAGCCGGTGACTCCCAAGAAAGGTTTGTCTCTCTTTTATTTTTACTCATATTATATCTAATAGAGTCGTTTCTTAGTGGTTTCTCCCTTTATTATATACATTAGAGTTAATCAGATCATTTATTATTCTAGCACCTGTTACTGAGGCCAAACCAACACCTGCTAAAAAGAAGAAAGGTATACAGAGGACCTGTGTGTTTGTAGTGTTTAGTTGTAACAAACAGTTGAAACCTTAAGTTTAGACTCGAGAATGAAGTAAAAAAAGAAAATCTCTATAAAACAAATCTCTCTGTCATTATTCTGGCATTTAGCAAATAGAAATAATTTTGGAAATCCTAACTGACCTAAAACAGGAAAAGTTTAGTCTGATATAATGTCAGACAGTGAGAGAAAAAACACGGTTATTATTATTATAATACACCGTATGTAAACTTCTGGTTTCAACTGTAGTTCTTCTTATGAATTACATCTTTTGTAGAAACACTATTTGCACGACTATTGGGGGAGAAAACAAATTCTGAATATACGTAGTGCAATTAATTTTATATCTAAACATGCTGCTGACAACAATCTATAACTCTGTTTTTAGACTTTCCACAGCATCACTGTGTGCCAATAAACTGCATCAGCTGTAACTGTAATAACAATAACTACGCTGTTGCTGCATGAAAACCTCTGCAGGAAACTGCACTGATTATTATTATTATTCGCTTTAGAAGCTGAAGTTGTCAAGGAGAAGAAGGCTGAGCCAGTGACTCCCAAGAAAGGTTTGTTCTCTTTCATTTTTTTTTACCAATAATTTATATACAACAGTTGTTCTGTACATTAGAGTTAATCAGACTATTTGTTATTTTAGCACCTGTTACCAAGATAAGGTTCTCTTTTACTTTTACCCATTTTATACATAGAACAGTTACTTCTTTGTTGTTTCTCACCGTTCTATATACTGTACATGAGAGTTAATCAGATCATTTATTATTCTAGCACCTGTTGTTAAGGCCAAACCAACACCTGCTAAAAAGAAGAAAGGTATACAGAGGACCTGTGTGTCTGTAGTGTTTAGTTAAAACGTAGTTCTTGTAATAAATTACCTCTGCTGTAGAAACACTATTTCTATCCAATCATCACACTGGCACATTACAAGCTTTGTAGTTGTAGATGACTTGAAATGCTGTAGTTCAAGCAGCTTTGTTAGAAAATTAGCGACTTCTGCTGTAAAGTTCTGTGTGCTGACAGCTCAAGTTTTCCTTTTACAGAAGTGGAGACTCCTAAAGAAAAGGCCAAAGCAGTCATCTTGACCAAAGGTAGGACTCGTACATGTCCTAAAAAACACAACAACAACAACAACAAAAACTAATTAAATAAAATCCTGTGTGTATATTTCACTCCCAAATTTCTGCTGACAGAACGAGAAGGCGCTCCTAAAAATGCCACTCTGGCAAAACAGAGGGTCAAAATAGTGCCGATGAAGAAAGGTGAATCTCTTTTAGTTCATATCTGTCATTGATTTCAGATTCTCATGTATCTTAGAGGTGAACTGTACAGATCCTAATATTTCATCATTTCTGTTTGTGGTGTTTTCTCACAGTGGTCAAGACACCAAAAGAGAAAGTCAAAACAGTCTCTGCAAAGCCAAGTATGTCACATATATGATGTGTATTTTAGGCTGTTAGCATGTTCAACATATCAAACTGAACATCGTGTTAAACGTTTGAAGTCTAACACATTTAGTTTCATGTAATGCTGAATCTATAATGTCTTTATGTAGAACCTGAAAAAATCAAGACAAAACCAGCACCAACGGTTAAAGGTAAGAGGAGAGGAACGTTTTATCTACATGTTTAGGTATCTGTAGGCTTTTGAAACGTGTCTACATTTAAACATGTAAATATACAGTCAAGCTAATTTTTTTGGAATTCATTTATTTCTCACAGAGGCAGAAGTTCCACCCAAAAACGTCTCTCTAGCAAAGGAGAAGGCTAAAGTGGTGCCACTGAAGAAAGGTACATCTAGTTGTAGCTAATCCTAATATTTTATGCATGTTATCCACTGCTGTATTAACTGCTCAACATCCATTCATTAGTTCTGAATACTTGAGAATATTTTCACAAATTTAAACCATGACTGTGCAAAACTTTTTCTGTCTTAGTTCCTGTGACCCTGAAAGAAAAAGTTAAACCAGCACCAACTAAAAAAGGTAGTTAAACTGAGTTAAGCTTTTTTTTTGGTCAAGTATATTAAACGTCCTAATGTGATCTAATACAGTCTGTAATATTAATCATTTTTCTGCACGTGTCTGCATTTTCTATTTAAGTTTCCATGCATGGTTTTCTGTCATCACCTTTTTACAACAGGTCTGTTTACAGGTTTGCACAGAATCATATTGTGGCAATAACCTGCATCAACTGTAGCTGTCATATTAAAAACCAAACTGTTTTCATTTGCAATCCTCTGCAGGAAACTGCACTGATTTTTGTTGCTATTATTTGTTTTAGAAGCTGAAGTTGTCAAGGAGAAGAAGGCTGAGCCAGTGACTCCCAAGAAAGGTTTGTCTCGCTTTTATTTTTGGCCATGTTATATATAATACAGTTATTTGTTCTAGTTTCTCACCTTTCTATATACTGTACATGAGAGTTAATCAGATCATTTATTATTCTAGCACCTGTTGTTAAGGCAACACCAACACCTGCTAAAAAGAAGAAAGGTATACAGAGGACCTGTGTGTTTGTAGTGTTTAGTTAAAACGTAGTTCTTCTTATGAATTATTTCTGCT